CGGTTAGCAGATCAATGAATGAGAGGGCAGCGTTACCAGAGTTGCTCATATACCACACCATGTTACAGCACAGTAGAGCTATTGCAGACAGAAACAATACTGTACTACATCCATGTTTCCCGTCGGCTCACTGTTTGAGTGGACTTTGCTGTTCTGATGAGCATGAACGGTATACGAGTGGAGCGACTGAGCGGAGCGCACAGAGCGCGATAACACACAGAGCGTCACACCACGTGAAAGTGAAACCTGAGCTTGAACTAATTTTCGGCAGCCGAAATTTCGGTGCATCTCTAATTATTGGCGACATCAGAAATGTATATTATATAATAGATGCTTTTTTGAACATTTTAGCTATTTAAAAATATTAAAAAGTGATTTTTTTTACATGGCAACCCTGCTCTCGACAGGCGGCACCCCGGTTGGGAAACACTGATCTAGACTACTGGAGGTTAAAGTGCTGGTTTCGGAGTGTACGTGATGTTTGTTATTGACCGCTGTCGCATCAGACTCGGACATCGGCAGGTTTGGATGTTGTTGCTCAGTGTGGGTCAAAGTGCAGAAATTCCCCCAGTTTTCCAGAGTTCACAGCTTCTCCTTTGAGTTTTCAGGCTCAGTTTGACTCGTCTTGTTGACTTGAACATTTGAGGGTTTGTGTCATGAAGCATCATGGAGAATCTCACCTGGTGATGTTTGATGTTAGAGACTCTCACCTGTGTGTCAAGCACTCCGTCTGTCTCCAGCGGTGCCGGTGTAGAAGCACTGTCCTGGTGGATTGTTTGAGTCTTCACAGGACCGGAGTGCATCAGTGTTCAGGATACTCAGGAAACATCAGAATAGGATGCTTTCATGATTATAAAATGTGCTCACGTTTGCCTAACTTTCACTTGTAGAGTGAAACTGCAGTGTTGTGAAGGAGTGTGAACTGTGGTCTCTGACATCACAGACAGACGGAACGTGTCTTACGCAGTGTTACTGATATTTTTAAACCTAGAGAAAAGAGAGTCTGACCTCTGACCACATCTGCTTTTGACTGACAGTTCAGTTTGAGTTTAATGACAATTTATGTTCTAATTTGCTGAAAATGTACTCGCCCTCAGGCCATGCAAAATGCAGATGGGTCCTCTGCTGTGAATGGGTGCCATCAGAATTAGAGGTCGACCGATAGTGGATTTTGCGATACCGATAGCTAGGTTGGACCACACTGGCCGATACCGATTAATTAACCGATAGTTTTTAAATTGATACTGAACAAAAACTAAAATAGTGCTTTATTTACAAAAACAGTGCTGAACCATACTAGTAGTAGTAGTAAAAATAATAATAGTAAATGTTGAAATTAACACACTTTAACAAGGAACAATACTTAAACAGTTTTCATTAATCTTAATGCTACAAATGTACTCTTATTTTAAAGTGTTACCATTTCATTTCAACTGTCATGCTTAAAGATGCACATCTTTAAATATATACACAAAGGCTATAGCGTTAAAATTATATACATATGGATATTATATGTATACTCTCAGACTTGAACTGCTTCTATTCTTGAACACTTGATGATTATCTAATCAAAATAAAAGCGCAGCGCTGAGTCTAGGAGAACTCACCGGTATCACACACACTCCGGACACATCGTGTTCAACTCGAGCAGCGGTCTAAAACAGTTTATTTAATCACCAAACGGACACAAGTTTACTTCAAGAATTAATAATTTGGTATAGATGAGTTTGAAGTTCGGCGTTTAAAAAACGGAGCAAACGGAAAGAGAAAGCACAACCTATATTATAGCTCTATAAATGAAGCACACAGACTTTATTAGAGCCACAGAAAGACAAACGTTTTGCTGAAAATGCACAATACAACAATTCATTATGTACATTAACATTACCTAATGGACGCAACCCGGAAAACTATCGGCATGGATTTTTGTCGATAACCGATAGTTCCAGCAATCAACTATCGGTGCCGATTAATCGGCAAAACCGATACATCGGTCAACCTCTAGTCAGAATGAGAGTCCAAACAGCTGATAAAAACATCACAATAATCCACAGCACTCCAGTCCATCAGTTAACATCTGGAGAAGACAAAAGCTGAGCCAAATCCATCATGACTTTTTAACTCCAAACTGTTTTTTTCCTATTAAAATTTCAGTTCATAATCCAAAATAATAATACTTCCTCCAGTAAAAAAGTCTGTCTCCTGTTGTCTCTCACATCAAAATCCAGCCACATATTTGTTTAGAGCTGTTTTGGGCTTCAAACGGTGTTTGATATTGTGCAGATTTCTCTCCTGATTCAGACCAGACCACTTTTTCACTCTTATTTTTATCTAGAAGCAGCAGTTTGAAGTTAAAAACATCATGATAGATTTGTTTCTTACAAACACGCAGCTTCTGGCTTCTCAAGACATGAATTGATGGACTGGAGTGGTGTGGATTATTGTGATGTTTTTATCAGCTGTTTGGACTCTCATTCTGACGGCACCCATTCACTGCAGAGGATCCATTGGTCAGCACGTGAGGCAATGCTACATTTCTCCAAAAGAAACAAACTCATCTCAAACTTGGATGGCCTGAGGGATTTTCAGCAATTAATTGTTCCTTTAATATCAATTACATGTTTTATTATGTAGAGTTTATGTGTCTTATTATGCAGAATTACAAGTTGTGTCCACTGTTACATAACCTTTTTTTTTTTTGCATTCGTTGTTTTTATAGTTCAGTCTGTCATATTTTCATACAATGCTCATTGTTTTGTGTTCTTGAGTAAATCAGTTTTTTTTATTGTACATTGTACATTCATGGACAGACAGATTTTGACTGATAATCCTTTGTGAGGTCAGACTCTATGCCGCCCGCATATAGTAAGACTGTCTGGGGAAAAAACCTCCACGTCTTCAGTTAAGAGCAGTGAGTGATTTTTCTGTTTTGTTGTTTTATTAACATTAAAGGGACAGTTCACCCAAAAATGAAAATTCTGTCATCATTTAGGCTACTCTCAAGTTGTTTTAAACCTGAATGAGTTTCTTTCTTCAGCTGAACACAAAAGTTATTTTGAAGAATGTGGCAACCAAACAGTTGCTGGTCCCCAGTGACTTCCATAGTATATATTTTTTCCTATTATCAAAGTCAATGGGGACCTGTTTGGTTACTCACGTTCTGCAAAATATTGTCTTTTGTGTTTAGCACAAGAAAGAAATGATTGCAGCTTTGGGACAACATGAGAGTGAGTAAATAATGACCGAATTAAAAATTTTTTGGTGAACTGTCCCTTTAATGAGAAGCGGCAGCATGTTTAGTACCATTAGGCCCAATCCCAATTCTATTTTATACCCCTTCCCCTTGTCCCTTGAAACAGAGTGTCAAGGGGTAGGGGTGAAAATATTCCCATAAGAATTGGGACACCACTACTATACGTCACACATCATCATACGTCGTCTAGCTCCTACAATACACACACCTATACTGGTGTGCATTAGAGCTTTTAATTACCGTTCTATATTAATGCGTTGCTTACTGACACACACACACACACACACACAC